TTCATATTTCACATCAATCTTACTTCTACAACACTGAGAGTGTGGGTGTGGGTGTTCTCTTCATCCACACCCACACACCCACACCCACACCCACACACCCATCCACACCCACACCTCACACCCACACCCGAAGACGAAAGCGTTTAATTGTCTACTTTTTCAAGAGTGTGTAAATCGTAGTTTTGTGGTCAACACTACTCTTCCTAGATTAGTCAATAATAACTTTCGTATTAGGATCTATACAGAACAAGTATGGATTAAGTATGTCGGTTTGTACCACACGATAAGAAAGATATAGGGTATGGGTGTGCGTAAGGGTGTGAATGAAAGCAAGACTAAAAATCGCATTCATCTAAACCCACACCCACATTAACACCCACCCATACCCTCACCCACACCCCTACCCCTAATTTTTCTGTTGGTGAAGCAATGGTTTCCTTTCACATCTATTGCGCACCGCTCATGATCATAATACATTACCAGGCTATTGTGCAAGAATTCTTTGTTGCTTCGTGAAGTGCGTAGAAGTAATAATGAAAACATGTGACAATATTTACCTTTATACTCTTGCTTTTGCTTATGTAACGAAGTACGTGCTTCCTAAATTTTAATTTTGAAAATAAATGTGTTAATGAATTTATATTAGAAAACTTCTTTCTCTGGAAAAAACATAGTTTGTAAAGTGAAATAACAATTGCTAAAATGTCACACAACCAATATTTTAAATGAAAAGAGAAATGCTTTTCAGGATTATATTTATGAGTTTTAAGCTTTGTTGATCATTAAAAACAACGCGTGTTTTTTATCGCTAAATTGCTTGATAAATATTATCTTGCTTTTTATAGTTAATACTAGCATTGATAAACTGAGCATAATAATAATAGAAGTTGGTTTATTATTCAACATAGTAAAATGTTTATCGATAGACAATACAAGCTAAAAGACATCATATCGTCTGATTTCCAAGAAACAATTCAACAATTATTGTCATAGTCTGTAAGTAATTTCGAAGATATGAATGAGGCTAATACTAAATTAAAATTTTGAAATTTAAAAAGAGTCATGTTTGTATAGCAAGAATTTGAATTTTGTACATGTTAACATGATGCAATAACTTTACGAACGTCATTGTATCAAAACTGGGCAGTCTCCATTTTATGTAAAACTGTAATGGATGTCTTGAATGGTTGATCATTGTTTCTATCTTTGCAATGGGCTTTTCTCATGAGTACTCTATCGAATTTCCACAGAAATTTGTTTATTAAGTATTGATTTCGTATAGATTGTGCAAGGTTTTGTCGTATATAAGAGTTAAATTTTCTATTTTCTTCACAGAACAAATAAAAATGATATCGCCATGTTTAGTTACTATTTCAAAGGCTGATCTTAACTTAAAAACAGTAAAAGATAATGTTGTTTTTATTTTGAAGATGGTAATTTGCATTCTTATTTTCTTCCTGTTCGAAATTAATAATTATTTTGATAAATTTCTATATGAAATGTCTTACTTCATAAGGTTACTTTATTTTGTTTAGATTTTATTACTCGTATATTTATTGATAATTCTGGTTCAATATTTTCTCATTTGGCTTCAATAGGAAAAAATGTTTTACAAGCTGAATTAAGTATTTGTCAAGTTAATCAATCTGGGTGGGTGGGGATGTGGATGCAGCGTAGATTCACATCCACACCCACACTCCACATTCACATCCATACGCCCTTGAAGAGCTTATGAAAAATTGCATGTAGAGAAAAAATTTATTATTCTACCATTTTTTTTACAGCGTTTGTCAATAGCCAATTTAATTATCAGTCGTGAATTGCTTCCTGAAGCTAATATCACATTTGACAAAGAATTCTTCAAACATATCGATAGTATCTATTCTCAAAATACGGCTAGAAGTACTGTAGGGATTAAAAATTCTTCGAGTCATCCAGCAAGCGTTGATGTCGCATTGGAAGGATATCAAAATAGTGATAAACATAAGAAAGCTGTTAGCGAAATTTCTTTGGGATTACAATGTGAAACACGATATAGCTGCTTATGGAATTCAAAAAGAATTTCTTTTAATTTAGCTATTCTGCGTCACATTTATAAAACATCATTTTACTTGTGCTTCCATGACAACAATCAAGGCGTATTTCATAGATTATGATAAAACGTTCTTGATATACGGTCTTTGCTCATGTTTCAAGAACACTCAGTACAGTCGGTGACAGAGTCTCAGAGTGTCTGTAACGGTCTGTGATAATCTCTGGATGCCGTCTGTCACGATCTACAGGGGAGGGAGAAGGCGAGGAAATTCAGGTTTCTGCCCCATATACTTCAACATTTCTTTTAGATCGTGCCTCACAAAATCACCTCGTTTAATACCTCAACTGATCAGGAATTTTATACAAAGATTTTGATGAGAAGATAAAGAATATTAACAAATGGAACACCTAATACCATGTAAAGATTCGATTTATTGTCTTGATCAATATTCCACAGAAAAATCCTTAAGTCATAATCAAACTTATTCACATCCGTGTCGTTTCTCTGAATTATGTCGAAATATTCATGATGTGCCTCATGGAATACAATTCACGCATAATAAACACGATGTACCTCAATGCAAATATGATATGAACTGTTCTAACTTGACCGATCCCGCTCATCGCTCTTCTTATCGACATACTGGTTTATCGGATTATTTAGTTCCGTGTCGGAATCAACAGCAATGTCGTAATTCGACTTTTGAACATCGAAAGAAATATTTTCACGGAGAAAAAATCAATACATTGACAGTAAATCAAAATATTCCAAAAGGTAAAAATGAATTGGCGAATAGAGAAGTGCATTGTTTTATAATAATTGTAGGAGTTTCAAAGACAAAAACAAACTTTGAATCAAGAAATTCTCAAAATCAATCTCAACAGGATCATTTTCATTCGTCACAGCGTGATCATACTGCTCAACGAAGCCGATTTTACGAACAGTCACGCGCAAAGAAGTCCTCATACGGATTGAATGAACAATCTTCTCATGTAGGACCATTTGAAAATGAAGAATCTGATCGTAAAGATTTACTGACCACCTTCTATACAGAGGTAGCAGGCAAAAGTAGTATTATAGATGCAAGGGGCTATGATCAATATCATAATCCAGTAGGAAGAATTTATGATTTAGGTCGAGATGGTGCATTTAGTGATTTTAATATTTTAATTGCACAGTTTTATATAGATTCGGAATTCAATGATACAGCTATGAAAGTACCGATTGATGCATTAAAAGTTAAAGGATTTCAGGTAAAACATGTGAAAACAGAAAATGAATGTATAACAGAAATGGCCTCCAATTGCCATCAAATCGTATGGATTATTAGTACAAATCAAATTCAAAATCCATCATTCATCTCAGCTCTAACAAAATATAATTCGAATGGCGGAGCTATTTTCTTATTTGCTGATAATGCACCATGGCTCTGTCATGCATCTGAATTTCTCAGAACAAAATTTGGCATAACTCTCGAAGGTGATTACTACGGTGATAAAACACTGGCATACAAAGAAAATGGTCATCAACAAACAGGATATTTTGGTCAGCATGATATTTTTACGGGAATAGAAAATTTATATGAGGGTATCACCATCTGTCATCCCATCTATTCAACGCCAGCAAGTCGCACGAAATTTACCATTATAGCAACTGCAACTGATGGGAATAGCAGTATTGCTGTGTATGATCCACAAACAACGTCGACAGAAGGACGATTATGTTTAGATTGTGGCTTTACTAAGCTGTATAGAAAATGGGATTCGGCAGGCACAGCTCGTTATATTGTTAATGCTAGTTGTTGGCTGCTTGGTATTGAAAAACGTTTGAAACAGACGAAACAAAGCCAAAACAAGAAATAAAACTACATAATTCATTTATTTTATTTTCCTCATTCTATCATTTTATTTTATGCAAATTTCTTTGTTTATTAATCTGAATATTTGATTTATTAATCAAGTTAATTTCGACATATAAATATTCATAATATCATATTGTTTCAATAGTCTATCATCAAATAGATACTGAAGTGTAGATATTTGTGCTGTATTCGACTGTGACTGTGGGTATGAAAAAAGAGCAACGAGAAAGACAATATTACTCACATCCAAAGCCTCAAGTGGTAGTGATTGCTTCTTCGAATTCGCAACACCTTATCTTTACATTAATCTAAGACTAGTTAATCCAGCATTTATAATTATAATCAATACGACTTCGTAGTTAATGTAATGTTTTTGTTTATTCTTATTCTTATATGAATATACTTTCTGTCATATGCATGTGTCTGATATGTGATTATTTAAGTAAGATATAATAGATATTTTGATTATTTTCGATTCCCTACTTTTATAAAATGCGATATCCAAAGTGTATCTCTGGATCCGAATCAATAACGTAAACGTAGGCTCTCTTCTATCTTTCTAACGAGGAAAAGGTGTGGGTGTAGGGTGTGAGTAAAGAGAAGAAGTATTTCCGCATCACCTACACCCTGATTGTTCGATGGACGGACAGGAGACATTCTGCGATTTAAGACTGTTCAAACTGACGTCAGTTTATCCCAATGTCCTAGTCTGCCACCAGGATGCCCGTCAGGTTTCGAATACTGCTGCGTTGGATGTTCAAATCTACATTTCATCGCTGTTTTATCTTTTGACTGGTCTGGACGGAGTCAACAGACTAGATTTGACTGGTTTGAAGGACATTCTGGACTATTCCAGGCATATTGGAAGAATATTGCTCCAAAAGATTACTAGTCATGGCGAATGTACAAGACGTTTCAGACTAGACCTGACTGGTATTGTGGATTAGTCATGGTGATCGTATTCCTTTGTCTTTTGCTTACTTGGAATGTTTTCATGATCATAGCAACTTTTGGAATCCTTCTTAATTTTAATTTGTGAATCATTTCTTGATGTAAACACACACATATCTAGTTTAAAATTATGATCAAAAACTAAATTCATTGTTATTCATTTGATAAAACGCTTAAATTTCCACTTCCATAGCTAAAACAATCGCTATACATATGTAAGACATGTGTATCAGTCGAACGGTAGTAATGTGTCGGTGTATCCATTTGAACATGATTCGTTTTCCAGAAATTTCCATAAAACCATATCGGATTTGGAAAAGCATATAAAACACTATTTTTGGCACTGTAGTAATGATCTGTTGCTTGAAAATAATCAAAATTATACATCGCTGTACCGAACCATGCTTGACTAAATTGTTGACTAGTTCCAAACGATAAAGATATATCAGCTGTGCTTGTTGCTACACATGCCATGGAAACCCCAAAGCGAGCAGAATAATTTTGACATTGATCTGCTTTTATTTTCCAGTCTTTTAAATTTTGATAATTACCATTCGAGATTAAATATGGTGCGAGTAAATAAATATCACGAGAATCAAGAAGCATAGGTTGACAGTGGAACACATCATCTGGATTCCATGCATGCATCATCACACTCATATTCGACGAATGACAATAAGAGATCATTGTTGCTTGACGAATACATGTCACACCATATCCATAACTAGAAACAGCATGAGTGCATCAATCAAAATCAATTGCTAGATTTTAGGCGAATGCAGCTTTTTTCTAATGTTATACGTCCATTGCAGTCCAATACCATCATAGATCTCATCAATGAAGAAAATTCGTTTCATTTATTAGAAATAAAGCAGTTTAGACACATAATTTTTATATGTGCTCGAGATTTAAAGCGTATTCAATATGATCACCCCCTCAAGGCTACCTAATGAGATCGAAACGTAAAGCCCTACTTTGTCTAACATCGTCACTCAAAGTAATGGTGTGCTAACGTCACCTTATTAGATTGCCGTTGAATAGGGCGACATTCATTTAGATCCTTTTATCTTGAATTTAAGTAAATAATAATGATTCAAGAAAGGTAAACATACGAGAGGAGTTTTTTCGACAAAAATACAATCATTCTTTATACTTTAGACGGAATCTTAAGAAAAGCTTGGGTCCAAGAATTAAACCGCATAGATTGATCGATAGTTAATTATGTAGAATTTCGTAGATCAGAGCGACATTGAGCTCAGATAACATGGATTATATACAGAGATTTCACTATGTATATCTTGACATTTTTGCAACTGAGGAATACTCTTCCGTTTGATCTATTCCTTTCTCACTTACTCTGCATAAGCCCACATGATTCCTTTAGCGCCTATTTTTGCCCAATCATCAACTATTTTTTTCATCTCACTAATGGACAAATTTTTTGTTGTTACGCCCATATCAATATATCCATATACCGACTTGCCCATGACATTGAGTGAACTAATGATTGTTCTCGTGTTATTATGATCGTTATGCCATACATTTGCAAGATCATTGCCGAATACTAATAGATCAAATTGACTGAAGGTGGCTATGGCTGCTGTTATGTTTCCACGTGCCCCTTGTACTGTAGATGGCCATGCGTGGTAATATCCCAAACGTTTCGGTGCCTTTACAGCTGAAGTAGTAATTGAAATTACTGAAATTGCCAAAAAGTGAACAAAGGCATTGCGTACAAAGATTTGAGTTTAACAAAATAAAATTAGATGATTCTGCCAATGTTATTAGAAAATTAGAGTGTCTGGTGGCTTGTGGACTACTGTGTGTATTCGCAAGAAACGTTTTACTGTTCTGCAGGCTTTAGACTTTTCAGTCTTGAGAAAAGTAGAAAAAGAAGTATAGATGTGACGCAATACTCTCAGATATATTGTGAATAGTTAAGCATTTATGGATTCAACTCAGTCGATTGCATTATGAAGGGAAAAAAAGAAGGAATATATTTAGTCAATTTAACACATTACTCAAGACCATTCAAAGTAAGAATAGATGAATACTATGATATTGTGAGAAATGAAAGAAAAGATTCGAAAAATTCAGCAAGCTTTAAAATGTTCATCACAGATTCAAAAAGATCAAAAGTCCCATATTTAATTGACTAAACTCCTTTGAACAATGTGCATGTAGTCAAGACATCAATTTGCCTTAAGTTTTATTGCAGTAAGAACAGTCTCGTACTCACATAAAGAAAGAAAAATATAACTGAGCATCGAAATATACATCTTACAGGTTATTCAACTAACTTTCTGCCTTTCTCATTCAGGTTCTTGATGACTCTTTTCTCCGCTTCTCTTTCGTCATCTAAACGGACACATTAGTCCATCGAAAATATAATGTACTGTACCCACAAACTTCATAAAAGTTGGGATTAATGGTTCGCTTAAGAGAGTTGCATATTTAATTAAAAGTTCCATTTCGAAAGAAAGAGAAACTTATAATAGATTCGTCTTACTTGTCTTCTCTTTAAGGTTTTTCAATTGATCCTTTACAATTGTGTTCTTGTGCTTTAACTCGTCTTTTAAATCAATATTTTGATTTCTTTGGTCTACAAAAAGCCAGATGAAAAATACTATTACGATGATTAACAATAAGACAAAAATAAACAATGATTTGATTAGCATGGATGGTGCCATCCGAAATGTTTTTTGTTGCAATGATAAAGGTGATGATGTCTGCTTGCCTAAGGTGACAGTCATTGGATTAATATGCGTATTATTAATATCGATAATCTGGTTGTTATCATCAATAGAATTTTGTAGACTAACAATATCTAAATTAAATAACAAAAGCAACGAATTCAAAAGAATGACATAATTGATGGTTTAGAAGAAATGAATCTCTCGTTGTTTTGACTTTAAATTCATTGTGTTTTCAACTCTTAGACCAAAGCCATTTCGAAAAAGATGTGTCGTTCAATCCTCTGAAAACGGTAAGGCGCCCGCAAGTCAAAATTACAGCAAGATTTTTTTTCTCGATTTTTATATATGGTTGGATAGAGCATAGCGTCTTACCTAGGAAACAATATTTCTTAAGTTTTGAAAACGACTTTTCCTCTGAAAAAAATTTCAAACATGAAGTTTTCAAAAAC